TATATATATATATTATATAGATAGAGAGAGAGAGAGAGAGAGAGAGAGAGAGAGAGAGAGAGAGAGAGAGAGAGAGAGAGAGAGAGAGAGAGAGATAGAGATATAGATATATACCTGTGTATGCATGTGTGTTTGTGTGTATATGTACTCAAATTATTGTGTATTTGTCGAGAGAGCGAGTCTGTTGTACGCCTGACCTACGTAATATATTCAGTGTACTGCACCATACACTAATGTACGTTTAAAGACCTACTTATAACCATGATAACATCATTATCAAGGATACAATACATAATAGTTACATCCATGACGTGTTGCTATGGACACCGCTTATGTGTACATGTAACCAAGTGTGGGCAGACTCCCCCCAGCGAACCTTACATGGAACATTTTATGATTACAAAAACGTTTTGCAGGCGCCTCGGCTGTTGAATAACGTCCAACTCCAACACAATGCACCTCGCGCTCCCAAGCCGTAGTTGAATTTCGGTTGCACTCACCTTCCCAAGCGGCGCATCGCTCTTGCTTTTCATTTAAACAACAAAGGTGGCGGTGTGGCTGGAGAATATCCTGTTGTTGGTGAGATGATGTAAACCTTCTTTCGCAATACTATATTGTCCATTGTTGCTATGTCCAATAGATTTTACCTTCATAAATATTGACTCGTATGTTTTACCAACTACAAATTTCTTTGTTACTTCTCACAAGCAAATCCGGAGCACCCGGGGACCCGATTAGCAGAGGATCTAATTGGAGTGCAATTAGATTTAATTGCTGGATACTATGGGCGTGATAGCTCAAGCATAATGAGTTTTAGAATGTACATGGACAGGATTAAAATGTGAGGTAAGATTGTAAAGTTTTGATATACCACCTTAAAAAACATGAAGCTTATGGATCTGAAGTGCGTATATATTTTTATTTTGTTTCAAATGCACATCTGCACAATAGTAATAATCCAATGTAGGTTTGTTATACCATAAATACATGTTTTATGCAGGCTAAAAAGATATAAACAAAATTCTGCTTTAATATGCAAACGGACAATGTTATTTTAATTACTTCACTCAGTTCTGAAAAAAAAAATGTTAGGCAAGGGGTGCGGGAGGAACAGGGCGCTGAGCAGGGCGCGCACACGTGACCCTGCGCATGTGCTTAAGTACTTCTACTTACGGGCACAACAAGACGTAGATATTTACTGAGCCCGTTTCCCTGACCCCACCTGCGAAAGAAGCTTTTCAGAGAAAAACAAATAGGCATCTGGGAAAGTTCCAAACCTGCCATTTGCCTAGAACCAATAAATTGTGAACGCACAGTCGCGGTAACTATTTACCATTTATAACCTTATCGGCGAGACGTGGGGCAGCGAGAATTACTCTTTGGCTTCTTGGTGCGCCATATATGTCGGAATGTCCTATAGATTTACCTCATAAATATTACTCGTATGTTTTACCAACTACAAATTTCTTTGTTACTTCTCACAGCAAATTTAGCAGAGGATCTAATTGGAGTGCAATTAGATTTAATTGCTGGATACTATTGGCGTGATAGCTCAAGCATAATGAGTTTTAGAATGTACATGGACAGGATTAAAATGTGAGGTAAGATTGTAAAGTTTTTATATACCACCTTAAAAAACATGAAGCTTATGATCTGAAGTGCATTTTTATTTGTTTCAAATGCACATCCACAATAGTAATAATCCATGTAGGTTTGCATAAATACATGTTTTATGCAGGCTAAAAAGATATAAACAAAATTCTGCTTTAATATGCAAACGGACAATGTTATTTTAATTACTTCACTCAGTTCTGAAAAAAAAATGTTGGTGCGGGAGGAACAGGGCGCTGAGCAGGGCGCGCACACGTGACCCTGCGCATGTGCTTAAGTACCTCCTTCCTACTTACGGGCGCTACAAGACGTAGATATTTACTGAGCCCGTTTCCCTGACCCCACCTGCAAAGAGCTTTCAGAGAAAAACAAATAGGCATCTGGGAAAGTTCCAAACCTGCCATTTGCCTTTATATGTAGAACCAATAAATTTGTGAACGCACAGTCGCGACAATACATTTAACAGTTAACTATTTACCTAGAATTATATTTATAACCTTATCGGCGAGACGTGGGGCAGCGAGAGTTGTTTTTGTCGTTTATTACTCTTTGGCTTCTTGGTGACTACATCCAAAATATCGAACTTAAATATCCAACCAAATTGAGTAAATGGTCAATAAGATATATGTAATAAAATCAAGTAATACCACAAGTCGTTAAAACGCGTTGTTGAGGAGGCCATGTTCTCTTCATCAAACAAATAAAAAAAACTCTCCTGGCGTGCTGTATTTCCGTAGCAGCACAATACCAGTGTTACCAAAAGCACCTCTAGACATGTTTATCTAATCAGTTGTTTCTTTTTTTTAAGCTACACGGTGAATACTCTCTCACAGTTACTTCATGTTCATATCTTCTAGAAGAATAAAAATGAAAGACTGCATGTTATCTTGTTTTTTATTTTCGTTTTACATTACTGAATACAAAGATAGGGGATACATCATTCTCTTTATGTAGCCAGTTAAGTGACAGTTGTTTATGTCGGCCTATAAGTTGCGTCTATATCCTTTTGCTCTACTTGTGGGTGCTTCGTGCCAACCATAACACCGACACAGTGTGATCTATCCCCCACCTCCCTTAAAAAGAATATTAAAGTTTTTTTTTTTTTCAATTTAAACCTCTCCATTGATGCACCCGGGTTTTAAAAAGAGGTTCAAAACTGTTGTACAAACCTCAGATGCTGCAACCCTTGTGTAATCCCTGTGAATCACAGTCATTGCCGTCACCTATGGGATCCGGAGGTATGGGCGGCCATTCGCCATCATGCGTAATAGGTTGTTGCCACGGGACTATCCTTTCCATAGAGATCCGTGTGCCAAAGAAAGTTTAATAGGTGTTGTAGGTCTGTTTCCGTGGTTTCCGCAACTTGAGTCCCAGCAAAACCTAGCTTCGCGCTCTTGTATATTTGTTAAAATTATCCTGATTAAAAAAAAAAGAGAGACTGCAGGAAATCCATGAGGTCGTATATTCATTTTATACAAAATATGTATTTATACTTCTTTGTATTGTGACTATCTTTGGGAGACCTATTTCCTCTGTACGTCTTAATTAAAACTATGATCGTTGATAATCTCTATGGAGTTTTGATTAAGGAAAATGGGAAAAATAAAAGGTTCCTCACTATCAACCTCTCTCATCCATGGATAAAAAAGATAATGAAAAAAAATCCAGACGAAACATGGCAACCTCCCTCCCCGGCACCACCAATCCCCAGCGACGACCCCTCCCCCCCCCTCCCCGCCAGCACGACCCAATAACTCAGAGCGCTTCGCCTCTCCAGCTAAACCCATTACGTAGTGCTGTGTCCCAGGCGAGGGACGCAGAATCTGTGAGCTCCGCGCGCGCCTTGGACGTTTAAAACCCAGTCTTCAGATAATTAACTCGTGGACAGTGATTCACAGTTAAGACGTCACCATGTCACCCGGTCCCACTGGCGAGCTGAGCAGGCATACCCCGGATATTGAGGTTTGTGTTGCGTCGTTGCATTGCACCTATGGGAAGGGGAGAGGGAACGTCGCTCTTCTACGACTTTTGGCCAACCAAGGTCGTAGGATGGGAGCAGGCAAAGGGTGACGCCGCGCGTGACGGTGCTTGTGACTTTTCCCTCTGGCGTGATGCTCACCTTCGTCGAAATTTACTGGTATTGCGAGCAGCCAACGATTATATATATATATATATATATATATATATATATATATATATATATATATATATAATATATATATATATATATATATATATATATATATATATATATATATACATATATATATATATATATATATATATATATATATATATATATATATGTATATATATATATATATATATTATATATAATATATATATATATATATATATATATATATATATATATATATATATAATATATTAATATTATAATATATATATATATATATATATAATATATATATATATGTGTATATGTATATATACTATATATATATATATATATATATATATATATATATATATA